TAATACATGTATACCAGCAGCATGTGGGGGTATGGGCGATCCCCCCCCCCCCCCCCCCCCATCCATGCATTTTATGGTTATATTATTGCACGTATATTTGCATATATTATTGCAAGACTATACTTTATTGAGCAATTTTCTTTTCCCGTTAGCCGGGAGGCGGCGTACCGACAGCAGCTCAGGGAACCGTGTTCCCCTCCTTACAAAGAGAACTTAGGGGCCTGGGGCATTGAGGAAAGTATGGAGCGTCGCCCACTCATCAGCCCTGGAGACAAGGAGAGGTTGAGACGAGAACGCGAGGCACTGGAGTCGAAATTACAATGGACTAGTTCCTCCCTGAACTTCAATCTACACGGCTGTCACACCACCAGGGACATCTTTGCCAAGGGTTCCTTGCCCTCCATCCAACGTCTCAGCGGCTATGCCGAGGATGCCAAACACGTGGACGGTGACATGTAGACTACATGTATAAGTTAGTTGACAAGTTAAGATATCAAGGTTGTGGTCAAGTGGTGCCCCAGAGCCAGGCCTAGGAGACGCGAGATGGCGCTAGTTAAATCTCAGAGAACTTTGAGCGCGTGGTTTGGTTCAGCTGCAGCAGCAGTTTCTGTTTTAATTAAGTAGATAAAATGACGGGTACACAGTTGTTTTATTTTTCATATTTGTATTGTAGTTTGAGCAATGTGTATACGCTAGGGCACTGCGCCCAGTTTTGAGGAATTTCATCTGGGTAGCTCGATATTTTTCAAACCAACATTTTTGTTGGATCAATCAGGCACTGATAGTAAACATTATCTCTGCACAAGATAGAATATGTCGAGCATCAGGGAAACTTATTCAGTTTTTTTTTTGGTATGGTATGTATGATATGGTACAGGGATCTGATTGATTGTGTTTAAATGCAGCGAGTTAATATTCTAATTATTTTTCATATATAATGTTTATACTTTACTGTAAACACTTAGATCTATATTCAGTCATTTCAATGTTTTTCTATTATTTGCGCCTATTTATTTTGTACAGCTATCCTCACTGACAGATCATTCTGATGTAAAATTTACGAGATTTATAATGTATAATAAAGTACCACTGTAATCTCAAAAGCAGCTGTAACTTGTAGATCTCCCATTGTTGAACTGCTTCAAACCCTAGGCCTTATACGTGAATCTGGTTAACCTTGAGTACATCGTACAGTTGCTCACCAAGTTCCAGTCTTTAGCATGCAGAAGAGGCGCCATCAGAACACACGCCCACTGCCCTGCACCCTGCTGCATGCTTTGCTTCAGTTTTTTTTCTTTTACCTGTTCTTTACCTTAGTTTTTTTTATTTTGCCTGTTCTTATCTCGGTTTGTTTTTTCTTTTACCTGTTCTTTACCTCAGTGTTTTTCCTATTGGTCAGTTTGTATGTTAACAACCTAACTAGAAATATCATGGACGTATTTTGATGAAAAAATTCTGAATAGTTCAGAAATGGATAATCTTTGAATCGATTACATTTTGGAACTTTTCCGTGAGTAAACGAATGTAGTGAATGGATTTGATGATAAATAGAATTCAGGTGCCTTGGCGGAGTTCTGTGCTCTCTGGGTGATTATTATTTTTTTTTATTTTAATTACAATTGTTTTTAACGACAACCTAGATACAGGGTTGAATGCTGGCCATGACGTAAGCAGGATAGCACCCCCGTCATTAGTACGGCCTCATTACCAGCGCTAACTAACATCATTTCTTAACAAGAACGGTCTAATGGAAGAGCATAACGTAACCAATGGATATTTGTGCGGTTTCACAAGTCATTAGAAGGGGGCACGGTGACCTTCATTGATTTCTGAGGTTTGAAAAACATACTCGTCTAAAATTGGACCTGGACAAGAGTTTAACCAAGCTTATTACTGGAGGAATTGTTGTATGTATTCAGTGGTGATAATTGAGAAAATAATAAACCTTTTGACCAAACTGAGTATGTACAATGTATGATATAAGGCAGAGAGCTAGCAGGCCTACCCAACTATCAGACTGGGCACTGAATGATCCTGAATTTACCGGTAGATCAGACCACACTGCCAGTTTTCAAGGTGTACGTGCGTCAGTACGCGTTAGGCGATTTGCCTGAGCGTCTAAAGCTCGTGGCTGACTAAAGGGGTTTTAGTGTCTTTTAGCTCGATTTTCGACCTAATATCTCATCCCACGAGCTAAAATGTATCTAATCACCACCTTGACAGATAATTCTTCTCGCTATGCCGACTTGTGTCACTTGGTTAAGTCATTAGGGTTGATCGTTCCTGAAGGCTCATTTCTAATGAAACTATCGTTGTGCGTACATGTAGATCGATTCAACTCCGCGGGGACTCTTGCTGAATGCAATCAGATTAACAGGCTAATACGCTTCCCCCTGGCGTTCAGTAGAATATAGAAAAGCTGTTTATAGTTCAAATGTGTTACAAGAGATACTTTAACTGAGAATGAGCCCAAATCGTTTAGTTGTTTTTTTAGTTAAGAAGGGCACCCTGAGCTCAATTAATTAAATTTTTATGAAACTCAGCCCAGACTACCAGCTTTGTGCTAGCGTAGATTCGTGTGTGTTGAGTGGCCCAAGTTATAGCCATTCTGTTTCACAAATGAATTACAGCTCGAAAATTCATCGGAATATTTAGACCATTATTTTAGTTAACTTTGACCCAAGGTAAAAGTTTATTACAAAGAAACAATGGCTAAAATTAACCCCATTTACATTGGACGGCGTCCTTGCTGCGTCTTTTATGCGACCATGAAACTGGCATCGCTGTGGTCGTAGAAAGGAGGCACAAGCATCGCTTCGGTTGCAGAATGAATGCTCAATGATCGGCCAGTTGTCTGCACGTAAAGTATTATGTTTTCACTCTAAAACGGGGCCGTGATAGGATACATGTACCTTCTTTTTAAGTGGACAAATATTTACGAATTTATTATGGACTAAAGAACACTAAAAATCAGGCTTAAAAGTTGAGGTATGGGCTAAACACCCTTTTGTGCCACCGAACCATGATGTTAGTTTAGTCGACTTCATGTATAGTTGTCGGTTAGTTAGCTAAACTAAAGACGCCGTCACACCAAGCACAAAGAAGTGAGTACATGTAGGTACAGTAACGAATTTAATGGGGGGGGGGTGTCCTGATCCTACCCCCTTCGGTTTTTAGGGGAAAAAAACACACTAAAAACGTCTTTCCGCTGACCTCTCGATTCCTCTGAACTCATCAATTTTAATTTTTTTTAAAACAAATAATGCTGATGTTTTTAGTCAGATGTTGTGCTTGAATCTTGTAATTTTGTAATACTTTTGTCAGACATTTAGGGATACTTCACACCAAAAACGTACATCAAAGCCCTATCAAAGATCTATAACATTATCATTACGTGTTTTGGTTATATAAACGTTATAATGATAACGCTATATTAATTTTCTTTGTTTACTGTGCACGACGTACCCGGTATGTCTAACGAACCGCCTGCGTATATCTGCGTATGTGTAGAATTTCTTATACGTGCTATACGCTACATATATATAGTGGGACAGGACCTTTAAACAGAACATGTTTGGCTTACTGGCGTATTTTAAAGCTTTATGAATGTAATTTGTGCACTTTGTGTACAGAGTCAGCGCAAGGTAGCGGGTTCATTCGTTTTATATTCGTCCAAATTGTATACTACGTGTATATTATTGAAGGGTTTCAAGTTCCAACACTGAAATAACAAAGCTCAAAGTGTACGCATTTTATACTGATGTTAGACTACGCATATCATTTTACCGTGACAACGTGGCCCGGATGCCGTCTGTGAGTTGGCTGGGTATGGTTGGGGGGGGGAAGTTGTCGTTTGGGAAGCGAGGAGATATAGAGCGATCCTGTATTCTAAAGTGCTAGTGTTCCTAGCCAGGCCTACCAGACTCGGCACCGAATGATTCCGAATTCACCGCCGGGTCTTCTGGCCCTGGTTTCACAAAAAAACTTAAGTCAGGTTCCCTTTAATTGCCAAGGTTACATGGTCACATGGATACATCTTACCCTATCAGGAGCAGTGTAACAGCACTCTCATGGAAATCCTAGTCAACTAAGCCAGGAAACTGACTTTTGTGAAACTGGGGCCTGGACATCAGAGTGAGAGATGGTAAGAATCTCGGCTTCACTTTGGGTCACCAACACGATATCAACGTCCAAAACCAAGTGATGACGATCTCATTACGTAAGTGACACAGTGGCACTGGGCTTTATTTCTCATTTATACACACTGTGACGTAAATACAAAAAGATGCCGTTTAAGTTTGATGTGCAGTGTCTTGTAGATGCCAAATGTCTCTTGAATATGCTTGTATATGTATATGTATATGTATATGTGTATGTATATGTATATGTGTATGTATATGTATATGTGTATGTATATGTATATGTGTATGTATATGTGTATGTGTATGTGTATGTATATGTATATGTGTATGTATATGTATATGTGTATGTGTATGTATATGTGTATGTATATGTAGAACAACTCGAGTGTTCTGTCTTGACATTCCCCTATGTCGCATCCCTCCCTGCGGGTATTGAGCCATTGGAGACAATGAATTTATGGTCAAGTAATCGCGAAATCGTTAAATGGAAACAAATGAACAATCGTTATTGCACTTTTCATTTTAAAAAATCAAACCCCATCCTTTAAAATGATAAATATTCAAAACAATCTTAGGTGATGAATCACAATATATATTAATTCTTGAATAAGTGGTTTATGTAAGCTGTCGGTTTTGCTTTAGACTAGCAGATATAATCTATGTTTATTGGAACCATCCGTATTACATAAATGATCGTAGTGAGCAGCAAAAGGAATGTTTTCTAAGACTACTGGCCTCGAAGCTCTGAACAGGAGGGCCAGTTACATGTGCCCTCTCGCACGTCACCGCTGTGAAGAATCCGTAGGTTATTAAGATTACGCAGTTACTGTACAACAATCCTAAGGGTCTTTTCCACCGTGTGTGGTATACGGGACGGGGGAACCGTAAAACTTTTGCCATCTAAAGGGATTCCATTTGGGCCTAAAGAATCACAAATGAACAGCGTGACTAGAGGTTTACCCAACAAATGCGGCGATCACAAGTTGTTTGACGTCTGTGATGCCGAGCTGAAGGTGGAAACCTTTCTCACATTTAGAGTTTGCTGGGTCATCGACTTCACCATTTTCCTCGTGGACGGAGGCTTGTAGCAATAATGAGCGAGGAAGAAGAACAGGGCAGTCAAACACTTGACGCCGAGGCCGAGGAAGAAGAAGTTCCTCCCCATCAAGGCGCTGTCGTAAATCCAACACGAGCCGTTCTCCGTGCAGTTCTGCTGCCAGAGCTGACACGTACCGTCAATGATGGCGCCGAACAGGATTGGTCCCGGTACCGTGCCTGCAATGTCAAGGTCACATAGTCAGCCTATACATACATACATACATACATACATACATACTTCATACATACATACATACATACAGTACCGTGCCTGCAATGTCAAGTTAACATGGGCAGCCCCCCCCCCCACACACACACACACACACACACACACATGTATATACATAGAACATTGTTTGAACATGTTTGTATGTACTGGTAGATTATCTTTTGTATCATTTGCTAAAAACAAAGGCAACCAAGCCTAAAGTTATATCTTTATACATGTATATGGCGGACGGCTATATTCTAATACAAAATAACAACTAGTACTGAGAATATAATAATTACGGTCGCATTTGAAGTATATTATGTGAGATGTGCTACTTTGAGATGCGACAACTTCGTGGTAACTGACAATAATGTGGCTCTCTCCGAATAACAAACAAACGCAAAATTCTCTCGAAGAATGAACGAATTTTTATGTTAATTTTAAAAATTGTTACCTAAGAATCTGATGAAAACCCACTGCAATCCAAGACCAAAGGCTCTCTGTCCGTCAGGAATACACCTGGTAAATATAATATAATATAATATAATATAATATAATATAATATAATATAATATATAGCACCGGTATGATATGAGCTGTCACAGTACCGCCATCTATTGCGCGTTTCACCAGGAATACAACTGGTAGAGATATGTGAGGTCACCAGAAAATACATGTATAATCTCATAATAACGTCGGCATTGTGACGTCATCTGTTATATTTCGACCATAGAGAGGTTTGAATCTTTCATTTTTTTTTTTTTTTTTTTTTTTAGCTTTCAAAGATGTAAACAAATTGAATGACACATGATTTCGATGTTACTCATCTGGTTATTTGTACAAGCACGAAAAGTTACTTTCATAATGTATTTAATGTGTTTATTGTCATGTTTATATGAACCAAAAAAAACAAACAAAAAATGTACGTTATCTAAATTCTTGTTAACTGCACATTTTTCTACTGTCTCACAGAATTTGGTTTTCGTAAATTTACCTACATGTATGTTACAAGATGCGAGAAAGCCCATCCCACCCAAAGCATTCCTCTAAGACTAAGACCATAATGACCGCTTGATTGCAATCATCCACACCGTACCTGAGAGTAACAGAGGTGGCAGGTGTGGCCGACATGAACGTAAATAGTATCAGCACCAATGCAATGGGTAAGAATAGGTACAGCGTCCAACACTCGGCGGTACAGCGTCCTGTGGTGATGCTAGCCGCGGCCGAGACGTTAGAACCCAGCTCCTCGGCGATACAGCTACAGTCTGTGTACACCTGAAACCCGTGGATAAAGTGTGACAGTAGCCATACCTCACGTATGGGGGTATAGTCAGGGTATACTGTATGCTTCTTATGGGAATAATCCGGTGGTTCAGCTTTTTTTCTAATATAGCATTATCTTTTGAACACGAAACATGTCTTTTAAAGCGGAATTCCAGGATTGAACCGTTTTACAACAACTAGCTGGTATAAAGTGTAAATGAATTAATGTGGAAATTTGACCAAAGTTTCGGACTGTCAAAGTGTGCCAATATTATTAGAAACATATTCTAGACGGATGCAGAAAAGGAAATAATACATTTTTATTTATTCCCCGATTTTCATATCCTGGTTCTTTCCGCAAGGCATAAAAACTATTTGCAGTTTTCAGAAAAACATGTCATCAACATCATACGTCAGTGTAAAAACTCTCTCGGGACAAGCTTGTACAATTTTCAGTAAGGAGCATCGGTTTCAATACTTTGAAATACATTTCTAGTTATAATTTACAGAAAATTACAACCAATTTATTACCTTTGATCCGTTGACCAGCGCAGACGACAGGCAGCCGGCGTGACAGGGGGTGAAGTACTCCTGGCCGTTCAAACAGATGGGTTCAAAGCTAGAGGTGGTGCACCCGCACCCGGCGTTACACTCCGCTGTAATGTTGTTAACTTGGACGGTGGTGCTGTAATGTTATACAGACAACATTCAAACTAACAGAATAAAAAACAAAACAGAAAATAAACTATTGAAACTGGACCTGGGAGGATACAAAAATGGCGCTGATATCACAGGTGTAGAGGTGGAGCCGGTGTGACAGGAATGGTATTCCTAGGAATGGAAGTCCGGGCTCCCATATAATTATATAACTAATTAGTACAGGTTTAGGTTAGTCGGAGTATTGAGGTTATTACGTGGGACGAGTGCCACCTGTACAAAGTAACAGGGAACCAACTGCGGTTAACAGCGGACTTCCATTCCTGTTACACCCGACCCCGTTTCACATAAGACGTCGACGTCGAATGAACAACTGAGCTTAGATTTTACACCAAAATTATTTAGCCGACTTTGATCTAGCAGAAGACTTGGGCCACGCTCTTTGTATAAAGTACTATCAAACGGATAATTTACAAAATGCCATATTAGCTTTATGGTTAAAACAAGATATTTATTTTTTTTACATAAGAGTCATTGAGCAAAACAAGGATCGGAGTGTGGGAGATTTTTGAAAAAAAATCATGTTTGGCGTGATCCTTATAAAAGTGTCAACCTTTTCGAATTCCTTTTTTTTTTCAGTCCAACAGTATTCTCTCACATTTCTTTTGGGTGGAGTCTAAATGAGTGCCTCAGGCAATACTGGTACAAAAAGATGTATACAGCAGGCCTCAAATAGCTCCCCAGACATTGTCCAAAGTCTACGACCCTGCACACAGTACCTGTTAGGGTAAGGTATATCAACTCCGAATACGGACGGCGTTTCACAACTGATCCAAAACGAGGCAGCCAGCAGTGCTGCCATGACGCAGGCTGTCATACTAAGCTTTAACATTCCTTTCACTTTCAGTTTCATTTTACTGGAGATGATGCCGCCAAGCAGCTGACCACCCGCCGCCCCGGGAACAGCCACGAATCCTGGAAATAGGTCAAGGTCAGAATAAGCAAACTTGTGTGCATGCTTCTTCACTATGTTAAATCTTCAAATAATGAATCAGGTTTTGAAATAGCAACAATCTCTTCTATGCTTTTTATTTAAGTTGAATATATCTCATGCAAATATTACAGTTGTCAACTTTCTTTTCCTAGGTTCGTAAAATCGTTGGTATTCCGCACAAACGACTGCAAAATGTGATGACCAAGGTTACCCCGGCCACCTCCCTGGGGATAACACTGACAGGTAATTAAAGCTTTATTTAACCCGTGTTAACCAAATCTAAGACTCCGTTCACATGAAAAATCTATTTCCTAAAAATCTATTTTCTATTCGCGGTATCTTGTGATCACTCCGAGCGCAGCCGAGAATTAAATACAGCTTTGGAAGTAACTGGCTCGCGCTGTCAGTAATTACGCCGCGGAATATTCAGGGCACAGACCGTGATCACAAGATACCTGGAATAGAAAATAGATTTTTAGAAAATAGACTTGTCATGTGAATGGAGCCTAAGACACTTCTCCCCACCTGTCAACATGGCCGCCCAGCTGGCCGTCAGTCCAAACTGGTTTTGTAGGAGTTTGGGGAGAAATGTAGCGAAGCCACTAGTGACTAGCCCTTCAGTGCAGCCAGCCAGCGTCACGAACACGAACGTTGGGTTCTTCAGAAGAACCTGAAATATTTCACTTCAAATGATTAAAATTTTTCCATGCTTTGTGTTGCGTTATACGACAGATATTTGGATCGATCAATGATAACAGAGAGCTGATCTGATGATTTAAACTTTCTGGTTTTGTTATTAAGCCGTCATGTAAGGGTGTATCTAAACTACGCTTGGGCGAGTCTCATGAAATGTACAATATCAACCCATATTATAGGGTTGAGGTGATTTCAATGCAAAATAGAAGCACAAAACAATATACTTATTAATCAGATGAAATTAAGTCACATACACTGTGACGTCAAATGAATCTATCTACATACTTTCACAGACTTTTGCATTAAAATATTCGGAGTCCAAAGCTGAATATCACAAAATCAAACAAGTTGAAATTTGCACATAAAAGATGACAAAAAGCCACATGTCCACACATGTCTACAACACATTTCTTCCCTCAGATGACGTACCTTTGCCGCGGTTGGCATGTCCCTGATAGACTTGCCAAAGCCAGGTCGGTTGACTTCGTCTTCGCCGCCATCTTGGTGGGCTTGGGACTCTCTGGTTGCTCGCACCTCCTTGGCGGCTGGAAGGATCAATCACTTCAATAATCACTCCAGAAACTCAGCGGAATTATTTCAGGGCGCTTTACTCGTGATTGACAAGAGCACACAATGTATTGGTTAGGAGAAATTCCCTAGTCTAAATTTTTAGGCTAGACACATTGCTAGGTGTTTAGTGACGTCATAATACTTAATACACTAGTGTCGTCAGACGCGTTTCATACAATAGAAGACCAGTATATAAAGGGTGACGTATTTTAGACTGGGTTCCCATGCCTAGATCGATCCATCTGGATCGGTCTAAATCCCTGGGGAGTCTCACTAAATTGCTATCAACTAACCGGCTTAAATGTCTGTCAGGCCTACCGAATCAGCTAGGGGGTAAAATAATTACCCTCAAGCAGCTATACTAAGCGTGACAGACATTTAAGACGGTTACGTTGATAGCAATTTAGTGAGACTCCCCAGAGAGATAGATCGATCCAAATATCTGTGGGAATGGTCCCTTAATCTACCCTACTGTCATTCAATCAGAAGAACGGGGCGTTTCCCCCGTGAACCCCTGACTCACTGGGCAGCTCCCTGGGGTAAGCACACAGAGCCACGGTCACCGTCCACGCTAAGAAACCAGCCATAACAAACCCCAGCCACCACGCACCAACCCAGCGAGGATCTTGTGGGGTTATGTTGACACTGAAACGAACACGTGCACGCACGCACGCACGCACGCACGCAAACACTCTGAATTAGTATGAGATGGACAGAAAAACATATGATCGATCAATAAATTTAAGTTTCATTTAACGTATCTTTTATGTCATCAGTGATTGAATCAAAAATTATATTCGATAAATTAGATCAAAAAATTCAAATTCTACAAATAAAGAGATAGCCAAATGCCAAATTAAAATGTTTGAATCCCATTATTATCTCCTAGAGTTCTATACATGTATCAAGGATTACTTAGTATCGTTATCAATAGAGTATTTATATTTCTCTCTATCGTATATACATTATTTTTGAAATTATAAACACAAACAAAACTGATATATTAAACTCACTTTTCTACATTAACATTTTCAAAGTCGACGTAGATATTAAGGAACTGGCCTCCGACTATGTATCCAATCGCTGGCCCCAAAGCGGAGAACGCGTACAGAATGCCTGGATATGGGAGAATAGCGAGATAAACATTTTGGTATATTCAAATTGCAATTTGATGTTATACTATATTATTCTTTTAAAAATATATAATAATAAAAATGATAATAATAATGTGAATTTGTTCTAGCACAATTATTTTACCATAGGACATCAAATCACACGTCACATAAATATGAACTTAAGCTCGTATAAACAATAATTACCTGCTAATCTATAATAAGGGCTAAACGACCTTCATACCCATCAAACGATACTATGTAGTAGAGTCAGTGTAAAGTTACAAATTTCTCTCTCTCTCTCTCTCTCTCTCTCTCTCTCTCTCTCTCAAAAAGAGGGAGGCGTCATCGTGTACTAACCTATGTATATAGGCGACACCTTGGTCTTCACGTTCTCGTCTATAAACACTGTCCCCAGGGAGTACAGTGTGGTCCCTCCCACCCCGTGCAGCAGCTGTCCCAGGATCAGTACGTACAGGTAGTTCTGGAGGTACGAGTTCTGTGGATTAACGGTACACGCCGTGGAGTTCCCAGTGCCTGCAGGATATTGAATGATAGGTTAATATTGCTGAGTGAGGAAATAATGCTGTGAGGACAGTAGTAAAGCCCCGAGTTCAGGGGTGACTCTGCTGGTGCCCCTCAACTGATATAACATTACCTGTACATGTATCTGCAATGGTACCCCTCAACTGATATAACATTACCTGTACATGTATCTGCAATGGT